GGCAGAAGAAAGAATCTCAGAATTGGAAGATATTTCTTGCCACAATGGTGAAACAATAAAAAAGCTGGAAGCAGAGCTGGATCAAACTTTAAAAAAATCATTTAAGAATTAAGAGACACTATTAAAAGGCCAAATATATAAGTTATGGGAGTTCCAGAAGGTGGAGAAAGAGAAGCATACATGCACCAGGATCCTGGTTCATGTCCCAGCTGCCCCAGTTCCCATCCAGCTCCCTGCTTGTGGCCTGGGAAAACAGTCAAGGACAGTCCAAAGCCTTGGGACCCTGCACCCATGTGGGAGACCCAGAAGAAGCTCCTGGCTCCTGGCTCCAGATCAGCTCAGCTCCAGCCATTGTGGAGATGTGAAGAGTGAACCAGCAAATGGAAGATCTTGCTCTCTGGCTCTCCTTCTCTGTAGATCTCCCTCTCCAGAAAACTCTGTTTTTTAAAAATAAATAATCTGCTTTTTTACTTTTTTATTTTCTTTTTAATATTGTTTACGTAGTTGAAAGGCATACACACCCCCATATAGGCCTCTGATTAGGATGGGGAGGGTCGGGTATCAAGGACGGTGGGTAGGAAAATATTTCAACTTTTTTTCTCCTGTGTGCCCAGGTGTGGAGGGGAAGGCAGCTGGCCCTTGCTGTCAGGCTATATTAACATCAAGAGATAAAGGATGATCCTTTAGTGACTATAGATTCCCATGTGGGGAAGAATGTCCTGCAAGTACTTGAGTGGTTTCATAGTTCTGAGAAGTTGTTGGTTTTGTTGCTCCAGAGTTGAAGAAGTTTCTGCAAGGTCTGTTGGTTGGCAAAGTCCATCTTATAAGGGCTTCCACAGACCCAGGAACACACTGCAAAGTTTGGCCAAAAGAACTGTCCAACCTGTTCTGCTTTCCATCCTTTGAGGAGTCAGTCAACATCCCCTGCTGGCCTGGATGAGCTGGCTATCACCCCGAGTGCATCAGGGCCTGCTGTCCACCATACAGGCATCAGCAACTGAGGAGGCCCAGTCCCGGTATAGGCACTCCAAGGTCAGAAACACATCCTGTGATGTTTCCCTATGGCTAGGGTTTCAGTTCAGTGGCCCAGCTGGGAATCCCCCAAAAAACCTCAGACTTGATTCATGTATGTGCCAGCCAGTGCAGGCTCAGGTTTAGCTAATGCAAATAATTGTAGATATAGCTGTCTGGTCAGTTCTGCCTCAGTCCCATACCTCACACAAACTGTTGAGTGCCGCAGCCCAGTCCAGCCAACCGACCACAGACCTGTTCCTCATGTGTGCCAGTGGGTGTCGCAGCCTGGAAGGAATGACCCCCATAACTCCCACCAGGCCTGCTCCCAGTCCCAGTTTTTGCACATGCCAGCCTGTATCCCATCCAGCTCTCCTTGTACACCTGTGGGTGCTGTGGCTTAGCTCAACGTTCCCTGCCCCAACTCCTGACCCATACAAAGACAGGTGTTGCCACCTTGTTCAGCATGGTCTACCCTAAGTTCTGACTCTTGTGCTCACCAGCGGTAAACATAGCATTCCAGGGGAATGCCCGGAGTTCCCCCTGCCAGGCATGTACCCAGTCCTGGATTTTTGCACCTGCCAGGGAGTACTGTGGATTAGACTGACATGACTTACAACCAGTCTCAGCACTTGCCAGCTGGTGCTGCAGCCTAGCTCAGCTGGATCACAACCATTCCAGGTCTTGTGCATGACAGTGGGTATGGCAGCCTAACCCAATCTGGCCTGCATCCAGACTGGTCCACTCTCAATCACAGCTCTCACAGTCAGCCAGTGGAAGCAGTAGCACAGCATGAGAGATCCCCTGCTCCCAGCCCTGGGTCTTGTACCTAGTTCACCTAGCTGCAGCCTAGCTCAGCTCAGCCCAGCCCAACCCAGCCCAGCCCTAGCTAACCCCCAGTCCAGCTCTGCTTATCGGCTATAACAGCCTAGCCCAACCTGGACCTCTCCCAACATTAGTTTTCCTGTGAACTGGCAGGTATTACAGTCCAACCAGGCCTAGTCTGCACCCTGTCTTGGCTTTCCATCATGCCTGTGTGTGCTGTGAACTGGCCCATTATGACCTGCCCCTGGCCTGGCCCACATAAAAGCCAATGGATCAGCCTGATCTGACCCACCCCTTGTCCTGGCTCTCATGGTCACCAGCAGGAGCCACGGTCTAGCAGGGGAGTTTCCCAAGTTCACTACCAGGCCTGCTCCCAGCAATCAATCTTGTATGTGCCAGTGGGTGTCATTGCCCAGGCTGACATGGCCAGCCCCCAGTCCTGGCATTCACTAGTAGGCATTGCAGCCTAAATTGACTGGCCCAACCCCATTCTGGCTGTCACCAATGGGTGCAACAACTAGCCCAAACTAGCCTCCCCCAAGCCCAGCCCTCATGTAACCCAGTAGGCATAGCCTGACCTGGTCCACACTCATTCTGGAACTCATGAGCACCATCAGGTGCTAGAGCCTAACCTAATTTGGCCTGCCCCCAGACCCACCCTACACACATGCCAATGGGTGCTGCAGCCTTGCTCAGCCTGGGCTGTCTATAGCCCCTGGATCTCATGCCCACCAGTGGGAGCTGCAGCCTGGCAGGGGAGTCTCCAGAGTTCCCCTACCAGGCCTGTTCCCAGCCCTGATTCTTATGCTTGCTAGCAAGTGCTTTGACCCAGTCTGCATGGCTCCTCTGCTGTCTCAGCTCTCAATGGCAGGTGCTGTAGCCTAGCCCGGCCATGCACAGCCCACACCCTGTCCTGGCTCTTATGAGTGCCTAGTGGGTGCTGAAGCCTGGCCCCAGACCCGGTCCACACAAATACTTTATGCATTGCCTGGCCTGGCCTGGCCTGGCTCACTCCCAGTCCTAACTCTTGTGCTCCCCAGCAGAGCTTCCATCCACTGGCTCACTCCCCAAATGGCCGCAATGGTCAAAACTGGGCCAATGTGAAGCCAGGAGCCAGGAGCTTCTTCTGGGTCTGCCACTGCTTCAGGAAGAGAGGGTCCATGAGGCCAGTCCGACTTGCCCCTTTGTAAACATCCCAAAGGAGTCACAGAACAACCACTTTACCTGCCTCCCCGCAGCAATGGACCCCTGGAGCCACCCAAATCATACTCAGCCGACAGCACCAAAGGACACAAGCCCCCTGAGAACTGGAAACAGAAATTGAAGGCGGCCTGCCATTGCAGAAGAAAGCTCTGCTAACACAGAAAGAAGCCGGTGATGTTCCACAAAACATCAGCAGAGGACCAACCCTGCGTTGCAGACTAAGCCATTGACAACAACATCCCACATGAGTGAAGGTTGGAATCCTGGCTGCTCCACTCCCAATCCAGTTCCCTGCTGATGTGCCTGGGAAAGCAGAAGACTGGCCTGTTGCCCCACCCATGTGGGAGCCCTGGATGCATTCCCACTTCCTGGATATGATCTGGCCCAGTCCCAGCCGTTGCAGCCACTCAGAGAGCATGCCAGTGGAAGACCTTTCTGTCTCTCCCAGTCCTTAACTCTGATTTTTAAATAAGTCTCTGAACATAAAAAATAAAGGCCAGTTGTTAGATGCCTCAAGAGCTGGCTTTTTAATTTGTTTTTTCTGATAAGGTAAGGGCAATAAACACTTTGGGCTTTTGGGATCACCCACTATCGCCTGGAACCACCCCACTCTGCCACAGCAAAAGCAGCATGGTGCATACCACGGTTAAAGGAACACCTGAGCTGAGCTAAATGTAGTAACATTTATTTGAGCAAGCAAAAGGTTCTAGGACCAGGCAGTAATCCACACAGAAGTTGGTTCAGAACACACCCTCCCACCTCAGGTGCCAACTGCTCAGGCTCGGGGGGGGGGGGGGGGGGAGTGAGCCATAGAACACACTTGGTGAAGTGTGATTGTCATGTTTTGGCAGTTTCCTGCTTCTAATGGGCGAAGACACACGGCCCTGCTCACAGTTTATCAACACTCTCAGCAGGGAGTCGGTTCACACTGAGTTGGGAGGCTACTCTGGGACAAACTGGATTAGTAGACCAAACTTGACACAATGAAAAACTGAATTTCATCTAATTTTCACATGTGATAAAATACTTTGTATCAATCATTCAGTAAGTGTAAAGTAGCAAAGTGTAAAGTTCTTCTTTTCGTGCAACTAAGGTCTCTTCAGGGTAAGTTTGCTGCATTCAGCCAAAACAGCAGATGCAGCAAGGCACCTAAGGAGATTACAGCAGGGTAGGGACTAGGAACGAGTGTGGAGGCAGAGGAAGGGAAAAGATGGAAAGGGGGGGGGAGGGTGGCTCCTGCCATGGTGGCAGAAGTGGCTGCAAGGCAAAAGGGAGCAAGAAAGGAGGATGGGGAAGGGCCGGACAGGGGAAGGGGAAGCACGCCAAGCAAGGAGAGACCCTGCCAGAGAAATCTGGCTCGGCCCCGACCCTGGGCAGCAGGAGCCCAGCTCAGCCCCGACCCTAAGCAGCAGGAGCCCCGGCTCAGCCCCGACCCTGGGCAGCAGGATTCCCGGCTCGGCCCCGACCCTGGGCAGCAGGATTCCCGGCTCGGCCCCGACCCCGGGCAGCAGGAGCCCGGCTCAGCCCCGACCCTAAGCAGCAGGATTCCCGGCTGGGCCCCGACCCTAAGCAGCAGGAGCCCGGCTCAGCCCCGACCCCGGGCAGCAGGATTCCCGGCTGGGCCCCGACCCCGGGCAGCAGGATTCCTGGCTCGCCCCGACCCCGGGCAGCAGGATTCCCGGCTCAGCCCCGACCCTGGGCAGCAGGATTCCCGGCTCGGCCCCGACCCGGACAGCAGGAGCCCGACTCGGGCGGGTACAGCCAGCACCGGGCGCAGACAGGACATCCGCCCGCCGCCCGCGCGTTCTGCCCGGCCAGCCCTCGGCGTCTCGCGACATCTCGCGGCTCCCAGGCTCGGCAGGGACATCTCGCGGGACCAGCGTCCAGGGAAGCGGCGCGAGGGCCAGGTGACCTCCGACTCCGCCCTGCTGGGCCGGCCGGCCGCCGCTGCGCGCAGGCGCGGGGCGCGTCGCTGGTGTCCGGCTGCGGGCGCGATGGGGCTGAGTCGTGTGCGCGCGGTCTTCTTCGACCTGGACAACACGCTCATCGACACGGCCGGGGCAAGCAGGCTGGGCATGCTGGAGGTAATGTCCCCCGGCCTGTGGGCTCCTCCGCACTGGCCTCCCCGGGGCCTCGCGTGCTCCCTGCCCCCGGCCTGTGCCCTCCTCCGCACGGGCCTCCCCGGGGGCCTCGAGTGCTCCCTGCCCCCGGCCTGTGGGCTCCTCCGCACGGGCCTCCCCGGGGGCCTCGCGTGCTCCCTGCCCCCGGCCTGTGCGCTCCGGCCGGGCTCAGCATGGCAGTCAGGGCCGGGTGAGCGTCTCGGTGCAGGTGCCCGGGACCCGGAAGCGTGCGGCCAGGTGCCATGCTGGCAGGGTCCCCCCGAGAGACAGCCTGCACGGCCCCGACCCTGGAGCGCTCTCTGCAGGACTTTGCCCGGGCCCGGCACTTGAGGACCTCCCTCCTGCTCGTCCAGCCCTGACCCACCCCACTTTGCTCTTTCTGCCTGCAGCTTGGTAGGTGAGCAGAGTGGGAAGAACTTTCAACTCAGCATCCTCCATGTTTCGCTGGACCTTGAGCCTTTGCGTCGTGTTTTGTTTCCTGATGCCTGTTAATGTCTTTATTACCCATACTTTATTACTTACTGGAGAGAGAGAAAGACAGAAATCTCCCGTTCACTGGTTCATGCGATGCCTGGAATAGCTGGGACTGTGCCAGACCAGGGCCGAGAGCTGGGAACTCCGTGCAGGTCTTCCACAGCCACCTGAGCCGCCACCCGTCTGGGAGCCCACCCAGGCACCCCTATACTACACCTTTCGTGTACTTCATCTTTCAGAGAACACCTGCTTGGACTCTTCCTGCAGGGGAGGTCGACAGCCATGCTTTCCAGCATGAGTCCCTTAGCTCCGTGTCTCCCCCTCCTCTATCCGTGAATCTGTCACAGGGTTGCTGCGTGTTCTCTGGAAAGACAGACTTGCCAGGTCGTTGGGTTCCCCCAAAGCACTGGAACCGGTGGACATTTTCATTCTGCTGGCGTGTGTTCTCAGCTTGACCTCAGCCTCAGGCACGCGCTGTGCTGAACGGCTGTCTTTACTTTATGAATGGGGTTAAAGATAGCTAACTGACTAGCAGATTATAACAAAGAGGAGATGGTTGATTTTACAAAGTTAGAGGATTGAGTGATTTTTTTGAGGATGAGAAAGCTAACCCCGCTGTATTGCAATTAAAACCTTGGCTCAGTCTTAGGCGTAGGCCAAAAGCTCGTGTTTCTCCAAGCTGTAATTAGTCCAAAGACAGAATTATAGGTAAGGGAGACAGAGAATTTTCCACCTGTTGGTTCACTCCCTAGATGACCACAGTGGGCAGCACTGGGCTGGGCTGAAGCGGGGGGCTTCATTTGGGTCTCCCATATAGGCGGTGCACCCAAACACTTGGAGCATCTTCTGCCACTTTCCCAGGTACATCAGCCGGGCCTGGAACCTGCACACATGGGATGCAGGTTTGCAGTGGTTTAACTCAGCGTGCCACAGCGCTGGCCCACCGAGTTCAGACTTCACAGTCACATCCATGGCTGGTGTACAGCACCACAGGTGGATGCCAGTCCATGCCCACCTGCTCCGGTTCCTGTGCAGTTGCCTGTTGGGGCCTGGGAGCATCAGGAGAGACTGGCTTGTTTGCACCTCTGCCACCCACATGGGAGGCTTTAGCCTGGCCCAGTATCGGACACTGTGACCAACCAGGGAATGAGCCAGCAGGTGACACGTCTCTCCCTGTCTCTCCCTCTCTCGGTCACTCCAGTTTTCAAAATAAATGCATCATTTTTTTTTTTTTAATTCAGGCATCTAGACCTGAAACCCAGCTCCCCTAACATCTAGCATGAAAGCACCTTGTTATTTGACACAAGTGATGTGACACTCGAAGCCACAACCCTTCATCGTAAAATTTGAGCACGGTTGTTAGTCCTTAAGGCCTGTTGGAGGGGTTTGCCACCATGGAAAGGTTCACTCAGGGAGCACCCGCCTTGTCCCCAGCCTCTCCCAGAGCACAGCCCCCCCCCCCCCCCCCGTTTTTGTTACCTCTGGTTGGTCTCTAGTTGGAGCTGCTGCTGTGGTCTTGTCTCCAGACTTGCCGGGTCCCCCTCCGCACGCTCCACAGTGAGATTGCTGCTGGGAGAGTGCGCTTCTGTTTTCTCTTTACACTCTCAGTTGGCACTAGTGTCCACCTACCTTCCTTGCTGCTTTCTGCTTTTTAAGACTTACTTCCTATTTTTATCGGGAAGGCAGATCAGATTTTATAGAGAGAAGGAGCAATAGAAAGATCCTCCATCTGCTGGTTTGCTCCCCCAATGGCTGCAATGGCCAAAGTTGAGCCCATCTGAGGCCGGAGCCTCTTCGGGGTCTCCCACGTGGGTGCAGCGTTCCAAGGCTTTGGGCCGTCCTCACCTGCCTTCCCCCAGGCCCCAGGCCGGGAGCTGGATGGGGAGTGGAGCTGCCGGGACATGAATCGGCTTGGATCGCAGCACTTGAGGACTTAGCCATTGCTCTGGCCCCACATATCTGCTTTCTAACTTGCTAAAAGGCCATTGCCATAGATTTTGGTAACATAGAACCATTCAGCCAAGTTTTGAGCTTTGGGAGAGGAAATGTGTGTGTGTGTGTGTGTGTGTGTGTGTGTGTGTGTGTGTGTGTGTGTGTTGGGGGGGGTGTGATACATAGTAAATGTGGAAAGAATGTGGGATAGGTAAATAAAAAATCTGACCTCAAAACTCGGTTCTAATACCGTCTTTATTAATAACATACAGAGTGAGCAGAATTGAATTCTGCTTTTAGCTCTACAAGGAATACCTTACCAGATAAGGATACAACTGCCAGTCCTAAATATTGACTTATTAAGGACCACTGTGGCACAGTGGGCTAAGCCACCACTTGTGGTGCCTGCATCCTGTATCTGTATGTCTTTTAAGTCCAGGCTGTTAACATGTCTGATCCAGCTTTCCATCAGTGTGCCTGGGAAGACAGCAGTGCTCAAGTGCTTGGGCCCCTCTTGCCCTTGTGGAACACAGCGTAGGGTTCCTGGCTTCTGGCTACTGCATGGCCCAACCCTGGGGGTTGCAGCCATTTGAATGCTTTAACCAGTGGATGGAAGATGTTGACCCCTCTCTCTACCTTTCAAATAATAAATCTTCTTTAAAATGACTTATTTAAAAGTAATGTCAGGGCCCAGTGTGATAGCCTAGTGGCCAAATCCTCACCTTGTAAGCGCCGGGATCCCATATAGGCACTAGTTCATATCCCAGCTACTCCGCTTCCCATCCAGCTCCCTGCTGGTGGTCTGGGAAAGCAGTCAAGGATGGCCCTAAACCTTGGCACGCTGCACTCTTGGACTCCTGGCATCTGATTGGCTTAGATCCAGCCATTGCAGCCACTTGGGAAGTGAACCAGCAGATGGGATATTTTTCTCTCTGTATATCTGCTTGAATTTCTAGGATTTTTGCAGGCAGTCATACTGTGTTAACATGTTGGTTTATTTTATTTAATCCATTTTTCACTTTTACCAGAAAGCCAGCAATCTTCCATCTGCTGGTTCACTTCCCAGCTGCCCACAGCAGCCAAGGTCATCAGGCCAGGGAACCCAGAGCCCAGTGTAACTCTCCCAAGCTGTGCTGACACCTGCTGCTTCCCATGATGCACATCGGCAGGAAGCGGTTACAGGTGGAGACGGAACTCACATCAGGCACTCCACTGTGAGATGTGTGTATCCCAAATGGCGTCTTTACCTTTGAGCCAATGTTCATACTGTCAGCGTGTGTGTGTGTGTGTGTGTGTGTGTGTGTGTTTAAGGTTTATTCATTTTTGTTGGAAAGACAGCTTAACAGAGGAGCGACAGAGCTTCCATCTGCTGGTTTGCTCTCCACTGTAGAGCGGCTGGAGTTGAGCCCATTCAAAGCCAGGAGCCAGGAGCTATTTTTGGGTCTCCCACATGGGAGACCTAAGGGTCCTAAGGCTTTGGGCCATCTTCGACTGCTTCCCCAGGCCATAAGCAGGGAGCTGGATGGAAAGTGGAGCAGCCAGGACACAAACTGGCACCCGTATGAGAACTTGGTGCTTGCAAGGTGAGGATCAGCCAGTTGAGCCATCTCACTGGGGCAGAGCTTAGGATTTTAAATAAGTTATATTTGGAATTCAGCTCCTTTATATGTACTGCTATTTGGGAAATGCTTTTCTGAAAGTGCTGTTCAGTATCACATGGTTTCCAAACCAGCCTCCATGGTTATTTAGGACAGACATTGGGCTTTGGGTTAGGGTTTGTTTGGTTTGGTTTTGGCTTTGAGTGGCGTGGGCGTCTGGCATCGTGGTTAGGATGGCCGCTTAGATTAGGATATGCATCCTGGTGGTCTCCAGCACACTGCAGTGTAGGAGTGTTCTGTGAGCAGGTCCTGGTGGTCTCCAGCACACTGGAGTTTGGGAGTGTTTTTCTGTGAGCAGGTCCTGGTGGTCTCTAGCACACTGGAGTGTGGGAGTGTTTTTCTGTGAGCAGGCCCTGATAGTCTCCAGTGCACTGGAGTTTAACTTTTCTTATGTAGCAGCATGTCTGTCGGCCCCGAGTGCCCCTCAGTCACAGCAAAGAGTAATTCTGGGGATGTCGCCACAGAAGATGGTGACATCACCTGGGAGCTGAAATTTCTTGGTTCGTTGATTAAGACTTAACTTGATAAAACAAAATTTGCCAGTATTTTGCCTTCCCTCCAAATTCTGAACTGAGGGCCTGCACGGGGCTGATTCAGCCCGCAGCACTGGCAGTCCATCTCGGTACCAGTTCTCATCCCAGCTGCTCCCGTTCTGCACCGGCTCCCTGCTAATGCGCCTGAGAAAGCACCAGAACGTGGTCCAGGTGCTTGGGCCATTGCAGCCATGTGGGACACGTGGGAGGTCTTTCAGGCTTCTGGTTTGGGCAGGACCAAGACCTCACTGTCACGGCCACGGGAGAGTGAAGCTGCGGGGGAGGCTCTCTCCCTCCTTCACTTCCCTTCCTCCCTCTCCTTTTCCCACTCCCTCTCGCTCTGTAACTCTTTCAAGTAAAACAAATTGATCTTTAAAAGAAAAAGAAAAATTCTTGCAATTGGTACTTGTTTTGCACTCTTACTTTTCTTAATTATTTTATATGTTAATTAGCACATAGAGTGTGAAAAAATCCCTTTTCCTTTGTAAAAATCACTTTCTTTTGATTCTTCCACTCTGATGGAGAAATGACTTTCCCCTTTGAGTGAGTGAGTGGGGTTTCTGGTCCGAGTGGTGTAGCATTTATTTCATCCCGGTGTAGTTTAGCTCAACACAGTTTCACTTGTTTGACCACTTTGCAGCAACAGATGACAATTGGGATTTTTTTCAGTTGATTATTTCAGAGGTAGAAACATACAGAGAGACAGAGCTTGCGTGCAATGGGTTGCGCCCCGAGGCCCAGGCCAGACCAAAGCCAGGAGCCAGGATCAGTCAGTCCCAGTCTCCAAACACTTCCCCAGGAAGCCAGGAACCCACTACCTCCCAAGGACACGTTAGCAGGAGAGTGGACCTGGAAGCGCAGCCAGGACTCAAACCCAAGCCCCACCGTCCAGGAAGCGAACAGCCTGACCAGTGTGCTGACTGCCTGGCCAGATGCCCAGCCCGGCCCACTCGTGGGCGACCGGGCACATTGACTGCACACATCTACAGAGTGCCTGGGCTCCCCTTGGAGGCACACGCAGGCTCTGCCCGTGGGAGGGGAGCCCTGGGAAGCACGGTAGAGGTGTGGGGAGGCAGGACAGAGGCCAGCAGGGTGATTGGTGAGCTGGGGTAAGCAGCCGAGGAGCTCTGGGAGACTGCAGAACCTGTCGCAGCGGAGCTGTGGCCTGTTCCTGCCACCTCTGCCCCGTGTGGATGGCTGCTCCCAGGGCAGCACATTGGCCCCAGACTGTGCGTGTCGGTGCTCCTGACGCCCGCAGGCACGCAGGGTTCAGGACCTGCCTGTGTGGGGCTGTGGGCACCAGGGAGCTTTGGGCAGCTGTGCACGCAGGTTCAGAGGTCAGGCCGTTTTCACACTTCCTTCCAGTGGCCGCTCCAGCTCATCTCTTCACCCACATGCCTTCCATGTTGGCTCAGCTTGACGTCCTGTCTTCTCCAGGTCACAACATTTCGAGTTCTTGGCCTTTGTCCGTGCTGTTTTTAATCTTGTCCTCCTCCTCCCCATTCATCAACTTGGTAACTGCATGGTTTCAGTGTGGTTGCCGTACCAGACCTTACCCAGCTGCCCTCCAGGTTAACTGCCATTTTGTATCTGTAATTCTTGTCCCCCGAACTGTGAGGGCGCTTACCTCCTCCGCTTGTGTCCACGGTGACCCCAGAATTGTCGGGGTGCTTACCTCCTCTGCTTGTCTCCATGGTGTCCCTGCCTCTTCCCACTAGTGAAGTTCCCCAGGACAGGTGTCTCTGTCCGCTGCCCACCGTGCAGTGTAAAGACTTTGAAAGTGTTGGCCGTGCAAGTAGGCAAAAACGGATTCAGATCTCAGATCAGGCTGACTCATGTCGAAAAGTGAATTCCATTGTGGAGCTGTGAAGAAGAATTGGAAATGATGTTGTGTGCATTTGGTACAGTCCTTGGCCACGCTGGACTTTTTACTAAATGTTAGTAGATCAGTAATCTAGCACGTAAGATTAATTCATATGGGAACACAGGAGCACAGCAGGTTTCACCCGGCACAGGAGAGCAGATGGCTTGAAACACTGGAAGTTTCTATCTGGAAAATGGGATTGAGGCAGCACTGAGTCATCAGAACTGAAACTGTAGCTCTCTCTTTTTTTTTTTTTTTTTTTTTTTGAGTATAGGATTGGGTACCCTTCTATGTGATGGTTATTTAGACTTGGCAGATGTGAAGCGGAGGGTCTGATGCAGTAGCCTGATGGTTAAAGTCCTTGCCTTGCATGCACCAGGATCCCATATGGGCACTGGTTCATATCCTGGCTGCTCTACTTCCCTTCCAAATTCCTGCCTGTGGCCTGGGAAAGCAGTCAAGGATGGCCCAAAGCCTTGGGACCCTGCACCCATGTGGGAGACCTGGAGGAGGCTCCTGGCTCCCCGCTTCAGATCAGTTCGGCTCCAGTGAACCAGCGGATGGAAGATTTTTCTCTCTGTCACTCCTTCTCTCTGTAAATCTGACTTTCCAATTAAAAAAATAAAATAAATCCTTAGTTTTAAAAAATGTGAAATGGATTTAGTGATAAAGGTTAGATGAAGTAGCATTAGTTTTCCTGGGAGAATGTCAGAAGTTTAAGATGTTTCACTAAATGAAAGTATAAGTTCTATTTTCCTTTCTTTTTTTTTTTCTTTTTAAGATTTCTTTTTTTTTATTGGAAAGTCAGATATACGGAGAGAAGGAGAAACCGAAAGGAAGATCTTCCATCCGATGGTTCATTCCCCAAGTGGCCAGGAGTTCTTCTAGGTCTCCCACGCCGGTGCAGGCTCCCAAAGCTTTGGGCCGTCCTCGACTGCTTTCCCAGGCCACAAGCAGGGAGCTGGATGGGAAGTGGGCTGCCGGGATTAGAACCGGCGCCCATATGGCATCCCAGCATGTACAAGGTGAGGACTTTAGCCACTAGGCTACTGGGCCAGGCCCCCCCAAGTTCTGTTTTCATATATGAATTAAAGGTGGTGGACTACCAAATGAAGGGTGGTTACCGACTAAAGAATCTGCTTAAAAGAGGAACTGATTTTAAAAATATATATGAAGGAGTTGTCTGGAGAATGGGAAACCTTCATTTTGGTGTCTTTCAGAATATAACCAGTCCCCAGCAGACGGGGCATGGAGACTGACCTACTGTAAGACAGAAGAGTTTTTTGTTTTTGTTTTCTTTAAAAAGAAAAAAAAAATAGGAAGTGGAATCCCTCAGGCAGCAGGCAGAACGCAGCTTCTCAGCATAGCCACAAAAGGCATGAAGTCTTAATGGATTTTTTTCCCCCTCATGTAGGTGATAAAACTCTTGCAATCAAAATACCATTATGAAGAAGAGGCTGAAGTCATCTGTGATAAAGTTCAAGTGAAGCTCAGCAAGGAGTGTTTTCACCCTTACAACACGTGCATCACGGAGCTGAGGACCTCCCACTGGGAGGAAGCCATCCGCGAGACCAGAGGGGGGACCGGCAACAGGAAGCTGGCCGAGGAGTGTTACTTCCTGTGGAAGTCGGCCCGTTTGCAGCACATGACGCTGGCAGAGGACGTCAAGGCCATGCTCACTGAACTCCGGAAGGAAGTGCGCCTGCTCTTGCTGACCAACGGGGACCGGCAGACGCAGAGGGAGAAGATCGAGGCATGCGCCTGTGCTTCCTACTTCGATGCCATCGTGATCGGCGGGGAGCACCGGGAGGAGAAGCCGGCGCCCTCCATATTCTACCACTGCTGCGACCTGCTGGGAGTGCAGCCTGCAGACTGTGTGATGGTCGGCGACACGTTAGAAACGGACATACAAGGAGGCCTCAACGCGGGACTGAAAGCAACCGTGTGGGTCAACAGGAGCGGCAGCGTGCCGCTCAAGTCGGCGCCCGTGCCCCATTACGTGGTTTCCTCCGTGCTGGAGCTGCCCGCTCTCCTACCCAGCATAGACTGTAAAGGCAGCAGGTCAGCCTGAAGCACGGCCGGGGCCACAATGGGGGGCCCTGGGCTCCATGCAACACGTGCCAGGGCGCCCTGGCTCCTGGGGTGCAGTGCTAGGATGGGCTGCTCTGCAGTGTAGGCCACTGCCGAGTGGCCTCGGACAGCCAGCCGGCCGCCGGCGTGCATCTGCGTTAAGGAAAGATGCTTTTGGTAGAATAGCTCAGGAAACTTGAGGAAATACATGATTTGTGAGTCTGTGAGTTAAGATTTTGTTTTGAAAATTAATTTATTAATCTTTTAGTATCTTGACTCTGACGCTGAGCGGAGTAACTTGCATATGAATGCATAGGTATAGATTTTTATGGCTTAAAATTACCATTTAGGATAGATCACATGTAAGGAGAGAAGCAGAAGAACAATTGGATCAAGCTAATACAAGATAAGTATGAAATCATCTGGGCGATTTATGGTGAAATTGTCTGGCATATTTCGCGTCTTATGTAAGTCACGTGTTTGCCTACTTGTTTCCTGTCGTGGCCCTCGTCTCTGTGTGACCTCTCACGGGGCTGGGGCCAGTGTTTGCACGCTGTGTACATGACCGATACATTCCCCAAGGGAAAAGTGTCTCAACCACCTTCTGGTTCTGCTGCTCCACAAACTCACAGCTCCTGGCGGGAGCTCACAGCTTCCGTTTATGGCAATACGTTCGTTTACGTCTCTCCGCAGGCGCACAGTGGGGTTTAGGAGACTGAGCTGCTCAGCCATGGTACCGGACATCGTGTGTCCTACGCAGATCGGAAAGAGGAGCGAGGCCCCCCACAGCCTCACCAGGCAGCTCCATGTCTTCCATAGCCCATCCTGACGCCATCAGAAGATGCGGCTTTGCTGGGAGCTGTTTCCAGAGTGCCATTCTAATACTGAAGTGACTCCTGAGAGTCCTCTTCTGCCTTAACTCTTTCTTGAGTATGTCACTTCACAAATGTCTACAGCCAATCCAGGGTTCGCCTGCAGCTTATTTAGAAGCTCTGGGAGCTGGCACCATGGCGTAGTAGGCGAAGCCTCAGCCTGTGGTGCTGGCGTCTCATTTGGCCCCCAGTTCATGTTCGGCTGCTCTGCATCCGGCCCAGTTCCTTGGTTCAAGTCACTGGGGCTGTGCATCCACCATGGGAGACCCAGAAGAGGCTCCTGGCTGCTGGCTTCGGATTGGCCCACCTGCAGCTGTTGCGGCCGTGTGGGAGTGAACCAGCCAGGTGAAGATCTCTCTCTGTAACGCTGCCTTTCAGATAAAAATAAGTCTTTTAAAAAGTAGAGACTCTGCAAATGTGGCCCAGGCTATTTGTTGATAGGATCCCCTGACTGCACTCCCCAGACTTGGAACAAAGTGGTTATTTATGTAGGAAACATGAGTTAGATTGGCTGTTTTGTTTTGATGGATTTAAAAAGACAAGAAAGTGTTGGGACACGTTGAACTATAGCTCTAAGAGTATACTCACCTTGAACTTACTTAGACAATTTTCTGGCTACCTCCAAGAATAGAATACTCTTATATATATATATATATATATATATATATATTTTTTTTTTTTTAATTTGAAGGGCAGAGTTACAAGGAGAGAAGGAAAGACGGAGAGCTCTTCCATCTGCTGCTGCTGGACTCTGACACCAAGAGCCAGGAGCTCCTTCCCGGTCTCCATTTGGGTACAGAGGCCTAAGCACTTGGTACACCTATGCTGGTTTCTCAGGCCATAAACAGGGAGCTGGATCGGAAGTAGAGCAGCCAGGACTCAAACATGTGCCCACAGGGGATGTCAGCGCTGCCGGCAGTGGCTTAACCCACTGCAGCACAGCACCAGTCCCTAATTCTCTTCTTGATACAGATTTCCTCTTGTGTTTATTTCGTGATTTTTGCAAATCTGGTTGTGTCTGTACATGTCCCAGAGGGCTGTTGCTGTGAGGCTGGACATCTGTGGACAGGGTGTGTCTGTAGCTTCAGCTCTGCTGGCCACATGACTTTGATTCTATCTCAACAATTTCGAAATTGTTCAGGATTGGGCAAAGAGTGATGGACATGCCTTGTCTGGTGGAGTGATACGTGATGCTGAGGGCTTGTCCTTTAGCTCCAGGGTAGATACAGGCGGCAGCGGGTTTGTTACGCTGTCAGCATCATGGGGCCAGTCTCCACAGCAGAGCTCCCAGGTGTTCACTGAGGGGTCTCTGCAACAGTGATGGCGGGGAGTCTAGGGAGCATCTGACTTTCCCCGTCTTCACAGTTTGCATTCTGTATGGTACAGCAACGCAGTCTAACATCCCATGCGCACCTACCTGCAGGAAGAGCTTTGTGGTCTTCTACCTTCTGAGTGGAATGTTACAGAAGATATTTTAAATTACTGAGATAGACCTATGATTTTTTTATTTTTGCTTTAGAAAAATATCCCTTAAAATTAAAGAGTTCTGTAACAGCACTGTTTCGTCATTTGTGTTTTTTCCTAATTCCCTCACAGTGGCTGGTGCAGGGCCAGCAGCTCTTGGTGTCTGGAACCTCAGGCACGGGGGACGCTACGAGGAAGGCTGGTGGCGATGGGTGTGCTGGGGTTCTAGGTGTCCGGGACCTCAGGCGGGCACGGGGGATGCTGCAAGGAAGGCTGGTGGGGATGGGTGTTTTGAGGTTCTAAGTGACCGGGATCTCAGGCATGGGGACGCTGCGTGGAAGGCCTGTAGGGATGGGTGTGCTGGGGTTCTAGGTGTCCGGGACCTCAGGCATGGGGGACGCTACTTGGAAGGCCTGTGCGGATGGGTGTGTTGGGGTTCTTGGTGTCTAAGACCACAGGCGGGCACAGGTGACACAGCAAGGAAGGCTAGTGGCGATGGGTGTGCTGGGGTTCTAGGTTTCCGGGACCTTAGGCAAAGGGGACACTGCGTGGAAGGCTGGTGGCAGTGGGTGTGCTGGGGTTCCACATAGGCATCCACAGGTGACCCAGAGCCAGTGAGCTCGTTGCTGGAGGAGAGCACGTTAGGCTCACAGGAGGGCTTGCTTCACTACCTTCAGACTTCACAGCCCGTGAAAAGAAACGCTTTCCAGCATAACCCCTTAAACGTTTATTTATAGAATGTTAATACATGTGTATTAGATGGTTTATACAAGCCTACCATGCTCTCCATATGATGCAGGAATATTTTTCATTCGTTTTTATGTAATGAAGGAATATGCTTCTGTCTGAACCGGCACACCTGCAGCACCTGCAGGAGTCGGATCAAGGGGTAAGTGGCAGAAAGTCGGCTCGTGTCTCGCAGGGACCCACAGGCTGCACAAGGGCCCTGCTGTTGGCTGGCCCCTGTGTGTGTCTGCATGCTACGTGTGTGACTTAGGCGTCCTGGAATTCAGCGAGATCGTGTGTATATCACAGCTTTAGCAGGCAGCGTTCCTGAGGAGCAGCAATGCTTGTGTGTAAGCCAGTCTGTGTTAGAGACACCTTGGTACTCTTCTCTGCCAAGCACCAAACCCTTACGGATGCCCCCGAGAAGGGTGCTGCTTTCGTCTCGGGAGGGCAGCACAGCTGTGGGGCCCAGGCCCTGCCCTGCCTCCCGATGCCTCGCAGCTTGCGGTCCCTGCTCTGCGTCTCAACTGTTGCTTTTATTACCTTTTTTCTGTCACTGCTGGGTTCACTGTGAGACTTTGATGCTCAGAGTGTCTGAAAGTATCATTGATAGTGCCTATGTGGGGATCATTTTTATTTGGAATTTTGAGTCTTCCAGAGCAATTCATATGAAGAACCTTCATAGAGTCCATAGGAAATGAGTCTTAGGGGGCCCGGCACAGTAGCCTAGTGGCTAAAGTCCTCATCTTGCATGCGCTGGGATTCTATATGGGCATTGGTTCATATCCCAGCTGCTCCACTTCCCTTTCATTTCCTACTTGTGGTCTGGGAAAGCAGTCAAAGGACAGCCCGAAGCCTTGGGACTCTGCACTTGTGTGGGAGACCAGGAAGAAGCTCCTGGCTCCTGGCTTTGGATTGGCACAGCTCCAGGGATTGCAGCTACTTGGGGAGTGAACCAGTGGATGGAAGATCTTTTTCTATCTCTCAGTCTCTAAATCTGACTTTCCAATAAATTTTTTTTAAGTGGGCCTGGCCTGGTAGCCTAACAGCTAGTCTTTGCCTTGCATGCACCAGGATCCCATATGGGCACCAGTTTGTGTCCTGGTTGCTCCATTTCCCATCCAGCTCCCTGCTTGTGGCCTGGGAAAACAGCAGATAACGGCCCAAAGGTTTGGGACTCTGCACTTGTGTGGGAGACCAGGAAGAAGCTCCTGGCTCCTGACTTCAGATTGGCACAGCTCCAGTGATTGCAGCCGCTTGGGGAGTGAACCAGTGCATGGAAGATCTTCCTCTCTGACTCTCCTTATATATCTGACTTTCCAATAAAGATAATTAAATCTTTTTTTTAAAAAGTATTAGGAAAAGCTGCATGGATTTCAACCTTTTTATTAACACCAAAATAAACTGACCTTTGAATTCCATTTCCCCCACGCTGCCTGTGCCTGCCCTGTGCCTGCCCTGTGCCTGCCCTGTGCCTGCCCTGTGCCCCTCAGAACCTTGTTTTCCCTCCAGGCATCCACAGTCCGTTACTGTGGGGAGTGCATCTTCATCCTGTGTGCTTGGCGCTCTCAGCGCCGTGCAAACCCGAGTTCTGCAAGCTCTGGGCCATCTCTCACACTTACAGGGAACGCAGGAAAGGAACAGGGACCCCAGCCTAAGACGGGAGAGCCAGCAGGCTGATGTAAGCACAGCCAGGGCAGCTCTCCCCAAAGGCCCCGCTCTTGCCGAGTTCCTGGGGACCCTGTGCTCGGTGCTCGTCTCCATGACAGCAGAAACATGACTTCACTGCTGTTGCCTGCACTCAAGATGTTCTTATCAGACACTCGACGCGCACTTCATGGATTGAAGAAGTGACTGACGTGCTGTGAAAGTTATTGCAAATTACACTCTTCCCAAGAAATAACAATTCATCAACTAGTTGGTATGTATTAGAATTTTACTTTTTTGGGCCTGGCGTGGTGGCCTAGCAGCTAAAGTCGTTGCCTCACACATGCTGGGATCCCATATGGGCGCCAGTTCTAACCCCGGCAGCTCCACTTCCGTCCAGCTCCCTGCTTGTGGCCTGGGAAAGCAGTCGCAGACAACCCAAAGCCTTGGGACCCTGCACCTGTGTGGGAGACCCGGGTGAAGCTCCTGGCTCCTGGCTTTGGATCAGCGCAGCACCGGTCATTGCGATCACTTGGGGAGTGAATCATCGGACAGCAGATCTTCCTCTCTGTCTATATGACTTTGCAATAAAAATAAAATATTTTTTTTAAATTACTTTTTCTCCCTCAGACATGTCAAGTTAATGATGCTGCTTCACTTCCCGTAATAGGCCTGTGTCCAGGTCCCTGTGCCATCTTGCTCATGCAGAGTTCAAAGTTGATTGCAAATTCTCATTTATTTGGCAGGTCTGTATAATGAGGGGACCCTGCTGGAGTGCATTTACAAAAGACAGCAGTGAGTGTCATGATGGAAATATTCTTAATGCAACTTGAAACATGCCTTTATTTTAAAGCAATTTTTAAAATAAATGTTGTAGGGCCCGGCGCGGTGGCGCAAGTGGTTAAAGGTCCTCACCTTGCCGCCCAGGATCCCATATGGGCGCCGGTTCTAATCCCGGCAGCCCCGCTTCCCTTCCAGCTCCCTGCCTGTGGCCTGGGAAAGCAGCAGAGGACGGCCCAAAGCTTTGGGAACCTGCACCCGCGTGGGAGACCCGGAAGAGGCTCCTGGCTTCGGATCGGCATAGTATCGGCCCGTTGCGCTCACTTGGGGAGTGAATCATCGGACGGAAGATCTTCCTCTCTGTCTCTCCTCTCTGTATATCTGCCTTTCCAATGAAAAAATAATAAAAATAAATCTTTAAAAAAAAAATAAATAAATAAAAAAAAATAAAATAAATGTTGTAGGTTATTCAATAAGTACAGCACTTAAAGCATCTGAGATGGAGAAAGAGAACAAAAATAGCTGGGCTTGGGTGGAAATGAGCTGTGAGCCCTGAAAAATGACTCTTCATCCACCTGTTGTGAAACACACACACACACACACACACACACACACACACACACACACACACTTCACGGATTCATACAACAGTCGCTTGTGACATCAGCTTGGATGTTGCGTATCCTTGAAGGTCCAAGATGTGCCACCGAGGCACCTGTGGCATTCCTGCAGACTGCCAGCCAGGGGCTCAGCTGGCACCCCCATGTATCCATGAGTGTTCCCTTCTGCAGATTTGGTGTTTTCTGCATCTCGTTGCAAAGCTCATCCAGTAAGTGTTGCAGCCTTTGCTAGAGCTGTGTGCTGGGCAGGACAGAGTCCTGGCGAGGCCAGAGGGAAGAAGAGACACGCAGTGCTTCCTCGGAGGGGGCACAGAA